TCCGGTGGGCTTGCGGCAACCACATGTGACGACCCCAGGCTGGACTCCGCTTCGTCCACGGTTAAAGCCGATCTGGCGATCCACAGCGCGAAGTTGATGTATTTCCTCAGCGACCATCAGCTCTCAGCTCTAGGCATGACGAAGCAGATATCGTCCTCTTTTGGAAGACCAAACAAAGTAATTCACAACAAAAAACAATACTACAGCGAGAATAAAAGTTATGCCTTCTTTTTTTGTGTGAACATTTGGGTGGCGTTATGCAAATCTTCCCACATCGTGACGTAGACATGTGGGGGCGTGTTAGAACGAGCCGTTTTAGGAGGGCGTGGTTGACTCTTAACTTTTATAAAGAATATCTCTTTGGATTTGAGAATTTAGTCTTTGCAACTTTACAGATCTTCTTTATGCACCAAGAGCTTGTAACACTCCAAAGAGAAAGGAAAAATTGAAATCGCATCATATGACCCCTTTAAATAAAACCCATTTGCAATGGGTTTGTAAAAGCTGTTTTTATTCCTGTTTTGGCCTGAGTTTTTGTTGCATTTACACAGTTTTGACCAGCAGGCGTCACCAGCGTGTGGTGTTTCGAGCGCTTCGAAACAGTGAATCATTTTGCGAAGCAATTGGTTTAATTGATTCGAAGCTTCGAAAGGTTAGTTTCTCCCATCACTAGCCAATTAGCAACACTTTTAGATTGAAGTTTAGCTTACCTGTCGAGAAGAAACTCCGCCAGTTCGTCGTTCATTTGAAACTAGTGATGGGACGATTGATACCGAGGCTCCGATGCTCCGACGCAGTTTTCAAGGCACTATTGTATCACACACTGTGCCGATGCTTGTATCGAAATGACAATACCATGTGATTGATGACGTTTGAAGCTTCGAACGTCATGCAGTATCGGAAGGTCGGGACAGCTGGTTTGAAAAAAATCAGCGCTTCGCATGACTCTTGTGTTTGACTTAACATTGACTTGGTTGTGTGTGCGTGTGTGTGTGTGTGCGCGTCTGTGTACACTTATTTGGGATTCAGTAGAATAGTTTAGAATAACCTCAACACCAGACAGAAACTGAATGCACGTCACACCTCTATTGCATTTTATCCTGTTTTTTTACAGTCTATGATTTTATCATGTTCTAGCTGGGGTCTCAGCTCACCCAAAATATTTTTGCTACTACTCACGTCAATTATTAATTATAATCACACACTTTTATATTTGATATTATTGATCAATATGTGAATCCATTGACTGGACTACGCATGACACGAGTTGGCACAGATTAAAAACTTTTTCAAACCATCCTGCTCCGCGATGTTTCGTTAGATAGGCTGGAGAAACCGAGTCTGACCACCAGATGTCGCCAATGCGCACTGTGTTAAAAAGCTTCGAGTAATGAATTTACGAAATTTATGAAAGTTTTTCGGCACAATTTGATGAACGCCTCAAACGGTTCAGAAAGCCTCGGTTTCCCATCACTATTTGAAACCCAACATTGCATCAAATTCCTCCATCTTGTAGAAATACTGTCAGTCTTCACCCTTGTTTTAGCCTCTTGTCTCTCTCTCACTGTATTTTGGCAAGTCTTCAAATTTAGCTTGAACTTGTTTAGCAGAAACTGAATTTCTTTTTCCACAATGGCTAAACACCCCTGGCTCAGCCTGGCCTGCTACAGTAGCCACGCCCCAAACTCGCTATTGGCTGCGCGGAGGTATGCAAATACATACGTTGACAGGCAGGTAGGACATCCTATCATTGCATTTGGTCCTGAGCCTTCCTATGCACAATCAGCTTGTAACACTCCAAAGAGAAAGGAAAACTTGAAATCGCATCATATGACCCCTTTAATGATAAAACCCTTTACTCTCTTTACCATTAAAGTATGCTGATCTGCAGCAACATGCAATTAATTTTTGTCATTTGTGTACTGCTAGGACTCCACCACTAGGGGTAGATGCACACACAGGGTTAAAACAGACATAAATTAATGATCAGTTTGTAAACCTGTGTTTTCTGACACTAATTCAGATCCCTTCCCACTATTGTTCCCATCCTCGGTTCACTTTTCCCCCCACTCACCTTTCCATGCCAGACAGCATGAGATAAATGCAGATGAGATTCTTGGGAGCTTTTAAAACGTTCCTTTGACTTGTCCAAAGGCCTGCCCGAGGCCTGAACCACGAGCTCCAGCTTAAAACCGCCAGATTCCAGATACGGACAGCAGACTAAAAGTATACTTTCCTATTTTTAGTTTAAAAGAAGTATACTAATAGCAAACTTGAATAAACTTCTTTTTCGTAAGGGCGGTGATAAAGAAACTGGCAGGAGATTGAACAGTTACAGTACAATTAGACTTCATCCTTTCATCTGATTTCCCAGTATCACTCTGCAGATAATGAACAACCTTTTTCCGAGGACAAACCAACAGAGCACCTGAGAAAATGTTGGTGTAATTTAATAATAAAGCTTTGTTCTGTCAATTATAAAGACGTATACTGAGCTGTAGTGATAAAAATGTGTAATGTTTGCAGAATATGTGCATAAATGAATCTAAAACATTTTGCATATAATGTGGATATTTTATATGTAATGCACCTAAACCTTTCCAGATGGTCATACCATTGTAAGACCCTCCGACTCTCTTCTTTCTGTCTCCATAATTGTAGAAGGTCCTTCTTAGGCGTACAGGGCTCTCATGGAGGGGGCGGATCCATAGGAAGCAGGTTGATTCTCTCTCTGTATTAATCTCCGTCAGTGTGTCATTGTGTGTGTTTGAGACAGAAAGAGAAGGGGAGGGCTGCTATAAAGGCTGGTTCCCTGTTGCTCGCTCCCATTCCTTCTGTTTTTTCAGTGGGTTTGATCTGCAGGGGATACTCCAGTATGATACTCCTGTTTACAGCCACCTTTACCATCCTGGTGATGTCCTCCCTGGACCAGGTGGAGTCTTCAGCGTATGACAAGATAGTCACGCACAGTCGCATCAGGGCTAAGAATGAAGGGTAAGGGTTGACTGTTTTAAGGGTTCACCTTTGCTGGCTGGGAACAAGGTGGTCAGTTTTGTTAACATTGTTGATGATATCAAATGTAGAATTACTTATTGAAAATCTGGGATTCAAAATGCTATTTAAACCTTTAACATTAACACAAAATTCATAAATGCATAAAATACATAAAATGATTTTGCACCATTTCTTGGTTACTAATCAAGTATGACAATTTGTGAAATGTACTATTTGAACTTGTGTAAATCCTGATGCTTTTTTTGTCTTTCATTTAGATTATGCAGATGTAAAAAAATGTATCGGCTTGCAAAATGAGATTAAGTTGTATTAAAATTAAAAAAAGAGAAAATACAAAAGTAGCATTTTCACTAGGAGTCTCAAACTCCCACTGTATTATATATTAAGTTTATCTTATATACAGTATGAATCTATGTTAATTTAAATATTATATTTATAAATACAAGTATGTTGTTGCAGTTTAAAAAAACTATGTGCATGTAATTGAAATTGAAAAATTACATTTAAATATACAGCAAGTATACTTAAATGTCATTTTAAGTATATTTCTGAGAAGTACACAAAGCCCATTTCTGAGAAGTACATAAAAAGTAGACTAAAAGTATACTTTCCTATTTTTAGTTTAAAAGAAGTATACTAATAGCAAACTTGAATAAACTTCTTTTTCGTAAGGGCGGTGATAAAGAAACTGGCAGGAGATTGAACAGTTACAGTACAATTAGACTTCATCCTTTCATCTGATTTCCCAGTATCACTCTGCAGATAATGAACAACCTTTTTCCGAGGACAAACCAACAGAGCACCTGAGAAAATGTTGGTGTAATTTAATAATAAAGCTTTGTTCTGTCAATTATAAAGACGTATACTGAGCTGTAGTGATAAAAATGTGTAATGTTTGCAGAATATGTGCATAAATGAATCTAAAACATTTTGCATATAATGTGGATATTTTATATGTAATGCACCTAAACCTTTCCAGATGGTCATACCATTGTAAGACCCTCCGACTCTCTTCTTTCTGTCTCCATAATTGTAGAAGGTCCTTCTTAGGCGTACAGGGCTCTCATGGAGGGGGCGGATCCATAGGAAGCAGGTTGATTCTCTCTCTGTATTAATCTCCGTCAGTGTGTCATTGTGTGTGTTTGAGACAGAAAGAGAAGGGGAGGGCTGCTATAAAGGCTGGTTCCCTGTTGCTCGCTCCCATTCCTTCTATTTTTTCAGTGGGTTTGATCTGCAGGGGATACTCCAGTATGATACTCCTGTTTACAGCCACCTTTACCATCCTGGTGATGTCCTCCCTGGACCAGGTGGAGTCTTCAGCGTATGACAAGATAGTCACGCACAGTCGCATCAGGGCTAAGAATGAAGGGTAAGGGTTGACTGTTTTAAGGGTTCACCTTTGCTGGCTGGGAACAAGGTGGTCAGTTTTGTTAACATTGTTGATGATATCAAATGTAGAATTACTTATTGAAAATCTGGGATTCAAAATGCTATTTAAACCTTTAACATTAACACAAAATTCATAAATGCATAAAATACATAAAATGATTTTGCACCATTTCTTGGTTACTAATCAAGTATGACAATTTGTGAAATGTACTATTTGAACTTGTGTAAATCCTGATGCTTTTTTTGTCTTTCATTTAGATTATGCAGATGTAAAAAAATGTATCGGCTTGCAAAATGAGATTAAGTTGTATTAAAATTAAAAAAAGAGAAAATACAAAAGTAGCATTTTCACTAGGAGTCTCAAACTCCCACTGTATTATATATTAAGTTTATCTTATATACAGTATGAATCTATGTTAATTTAAATATTATATTTATAAATACAAGTATGTTGTTGCAGTTTAAAAAAACTATGTGCATGTAATTGAAATTGAAAAATTACATTTAAATATACAGTATATATATATATATATATATATATGCATCTATCTATTTTACAATTTCAGAAATCTGTCATCAACATAATTAAACAATGCTGAATATTTTAATCTATTTTATTTATTAACCATACATTTATTTCTAAACATAAATGGACTAAATAGCAATTATCACTTTGTTCAGTCAGCTATTTAAAGCAATTTGTCAGGACTTCTACATAATCACCTGCCTAATTGAACACCCTGTGGCCTGTAAGTCTGTCATGTATGCAGTTATCAAGCATCCCTAGAGGGTTTTTTGTAATGTATATGCTCCCTCTGCTCTCTTTTCCAGGCCCAATGTGTGCGCTTTGCAGCAGGTCATGGGGACCAAGAAAAAGTACTTCAGCACATGCAGGAACTGGTACAACAAATCCATCTGTGGCAAAAATGCGTAAGTCATCCATTGATTTTTACTCTGACCCTCTCTGCTTTAGCCAGGTTTCTGCCCATGGTCTCATTAAAGGTCACATGTCACCGTGAGACAGTGCCTATGGTTCTGAAGGTGAAGGAGGGTCATGTTGGTGATGGATTACATTGGTTAAGCTTGTTCGGTGCTGTAGGGTGTGTTCAGGGAAAGTGAATGAAGCAGAAGCATTTGAAGCTGTTTTGTACTCTTCATACAGATCTGTTTTGTTTTCTTTGTTTTGTATTAGTAATGGTTCAAGACAGTTGGATTTTTGCCAAAAAAAGCTGGTCCACTACATAAATACTCCCTAGAGCAATATGATTTATGATACAAAAACGTATTACACTTTGGAGCTCTTCTCCCAGCTTGCAGCAGGAAGAATCAACAGTTGTCAGCCGAGTGCAGCTTACTGTACTTGTTTATGGCAGATTAACCGCAGCTCATGTGCGCTGACTATGACTTGACATCTGACATCTGTTTTCTCCTCAAATGCCAGACTAATTTACTGCATGTTCACTGAGAGGATGATGTAAGCGTGTTTCTGGGCTCTGTGAGACTGTGATGGAGGCCTTAGGGACTGGTGACTAGTAATTGGCAGGCAAAACTTTTAAGGTTCAACTCATCCTTTCCACTGGCAGAGATCTGTTGTGTGTGAAAGAAAAGAGAAAAACCTTTGGCCTCAGGAAATGTCTGTGTTTGGTTGTGCAGGTTTTTTCTGTCATTCTCTTTTTTTGATCTTAGGCATCTCCATATGTTCGGTTTCCATGTTTTATGGGGACATTCCATAGACGTAATGGTTTTTATACTGTACAAATTGTATTTTCTATCCTCTTCCCCTAACCCTAGCCCTCACACAAAACTTTCTGCGCTTTAGATTAAAAAATAATAATAATTTTGTATGATTTATAAGCTGTTTTCCTCATGGGACCAAAAATGTCCCCACAAGGTCCAAATTTACTGGTATTACTATACTTCCCCATAATGTAGGGAATACCAGGTACACACACACTCACACACACACATTTTCTTAGCTATCTAAATGGGGACATAACATAGACTTCTATTGTTTTTATATACAGATAGTTATACACTTTTTAACCTAAACCCACCTCTACCCCTAACCCTACCCCTCACAGAAAACCTTCTGCATTTTTACAATTTCAAAAAACTTTGTTTACCTTATTTGTATACCAGTTTTACAAATGAGGACATCCCGAAATGGAGGTTTTGGCGATTTTGTCAGGTTTTTCTCTCTGTCTCTCTCTCTGTCTCTCTCTCTCTCTCTCTCTCTCTCTCACACACACACACACACACACACACACACACATACACAGGTTTGTTTTTGTGAATTGTGGGGACTCTCCATAGGCGTAACGGTTTTTATACTGTACAAACAATATTTTCTATTGCCCTACACCAACCCTACACCTAAACCTACCCCTTACAGGAAACATTCTGCATTTTTAGATTTTCAAAAAAAATAATTCTGAATGATTTATAAGCATTTTGAAATATGGGGACACTCAAAATGTCCTCAAAATGTCATACTCATGTCATTATACAAATTTGTGTCCACATAAATCACAAAAACGCGCACGCACACACACACACACACACACACACACATTGATACTAGTCAAAAGTTTGGAATAATTATTTTTTTATGTTTTTGAAAGAGGTCTCTTATCTTCACAAAGTCTGCATTTATTTGACCAAAAAATACAGTATAAACAGTAATTGTCACGTGTATGCTCCTGTTTGTCCTTATTTGGTTTGGTTCCTGTTCTCATTATTAGTAGTCACCTGTTCCTTGTTATTAGTTATCCTCCTCACCTGTCTGCCCCTCGTTATCTGCCCTATTTGAGTTCTAGCCCGTTCTGTTCTCCCTTGTCTGGAATTGTTGATGTTAACCCTTGCTACGTGTGTTTTCCTGTTTCCCTGGATATTATTAAAGATTTTATGTTTGAATTGGACTCCGCGTCTTCTTGTTCCTCGCTCCGTGCTCCTCAAACCGTGACAAAATTCCAGACCAAACAAAATAGTAAGTGGCGCCCCTTCTCCCCGTTTTGTTTTCATTTGTTGAAAGTATTTTGTTTTCCCAGTTTCTCCCCGCGGCTATGGAAGTTGCCGCTCGGTTCGCCGGCCTAGCTCGCCTGGATCTTCCGTTCGTGGAGTATGCGTGGGAGTTCTGCGGGATCGCCGCGAGTACGGCATTAGACGACGCCACGCTCAACTCGCTGTTCTGGATTAGGGCAAATTACCATCGCCCCGTGGACCTCCCAGACATCACTGTTCTAAGCTGGAGGGAAGGGATCCTCCGGTGCCTGGAGAGCGTCCGGCCCCGATCCAGAACCGCTCCGTTGTCAAGCCTGCCAGCTGCTGCACTCTCAAGCCCGCCGGCCGCTCCATCATCAAGTCCGTTAGCCGCTCCACTTTCAAGCCTGCCGGCCGATTCACTCCCAAGCCCTCAGCTGACAGCAGCTGTCTCCCTCAACTCAAACCAATGGAGGAATCTGAGGAGGAAAAGACTGTTAGCTCGAGTCCGCTCCAGTGTCGGCTCCAGCCCCTGAGTCCGCTCAAGTGTCGGCTCCAGCCCCTGAGTCCGCTCC